ATAGGCGCTTAATAAATATTTGTTGAATGAATGTGTGCGTGAGGTCAGGCCAAGAAGTGAAGAATGGTGACAACTCCTCCTTGCCTATTATCTGGGTCTGAAGAAGGGACTGCCCCTTTCCAAACCAGCCTTTCCCTCTCGCCTGGGCCCCTGAAGTTCCCAGAAAACCCCTTGCCCCCTGCAGATAACCTTGAAATACTCTCAGCACCCCCCTGGGGCAGCAGGCCTGGCTCTCAGCTTCTGCTGCTGCAGCGTCTGCTGGCAGTAGACCAGGATGCAGAGGAGAAGGGCCCTCTCCTGCTGGCCAGGAAGGGACAGACTCCTGCCCTCTGGGCTGTCTGGCAGTGTTGCAGCCACTACTTGCTTGGGAACGAGCCTGGGGTTGGAAGTGGGTTTTAGGACCAGATCTCTGAATCCTAAAGTTATAGGATGAGCATTGTAACTTCAAGGAGGGTGCTCATGTGGAGAAAATGACCCCTGGGATTGCTTGGGGGTGGGGACCCCACCAAGAGGTGGTGGGGGCAGGGGGTGGGGTTCTTGGTTCCAGTTGAATAAACACCACCTCCATACACTAGCCACCAAGGGAACATTGGTCCTGGGCTTCCTCAGCCACTAGCCAGCCATCAGCTGCTGGCTAGCCATTGGCAGGGGGACTTGGGGGTGTAGGGGGCTTGGGCTGGGCTGCTCGGCCAGGAAGGGGTCTCCTTCTGAGTAGATTGGGTTCAGGTCTCCTCACACTGTAGACTAGTAGGGAGCGGTGATCCAGGCATGAGGTAACCTCTGCTGACTCTGTCACTCTGAGCAAACTTCTTCTCCTTGGGCCTCAGTCTCCTCAGCTATCAAATGGGGAGGTGGGATGACTAGGCAGTGTAGACCCTCCCACAGTGGCTCCAGCAGGGAAGCAGGAGGAGTCAGAAGAGCTGCTTTCATTAATCACATCAACAAGTATTTGTGTGCCTAACCGGGGCTGGACTGTGGTGTTCTGCCCTTGTGGACAGATGTGAACTCATCACAGAGCATCACAGGAACGACCTGGATGCCTGGGAAGAGAGCTGAGCCAAGTGAGGGCTCCAACCACAGACACCAGCCCAGGCCAGAGCTGCTCACTCTAGGTGTTTGCAAGGAACGACTCAGTGTCTGAAGGCTCACCAAGTACATGGCCATGGCCGTGCGACTACAGACGCTTCTCTTCCATGGAGAAGGAAAATGCAGAAAGATGATCTTTGCACCTAAATTGTGAGCTGGCTGGAAAGAAGATAGGTCACACTCTCCTATCCCAGTGTCTCTCCAAGAGTGTGTGCCCCTGGGGGACTCTGCTGGGCAAGGAGGCTGACATGTCCCTTTCCTGGCTCCTTCCACCTGCAAATAGAAGTCAGGGTGATGAGGGTGTGTTGTGGGGTCGGGGTGGCATTGTGCCTGTGTCCCCAGCCACCATGAGCAGTGGGTGGAGTCCTTGATACTGAGTAGAGTGCCGGTGCTTCCTGCGACTGAGGGAGTCTGGCATTCCACTACCCTGGGCCTCAGGCCAGTGAGTCTGAGTTCTGGGACTCCTGTAATGGGAAGAGGGCCCCGCCCTGCCCAGTGGGGGAGGTGTCCTCATGGCTGGATCTGCCCTTCGCCAGGGGCCAGGCCCTATTTTCTTATAGTTCTGAGCAAGGCCACAGTGCCCCTTACACCAGTGGGCAGCAGCCTGAGTCTGGAGGGGCTTCCCCTAGGGCAGCACAGCATCCCTCCCTTACCGAGAATTTCTGGGCCACCGTGGGACCCTGGAGAGCAGCCAGCACCAGGCTGGATAGGCAGGAAAGCTCGAGTGTTGCTAGCTTGCCCCTTCTGTGGAAGACAGGGTTCCGGAACCCACCAATCCTGAGACACATACCTTACCCTGGCCACCACCATTCCCCACTGCCCTTCAGAGGCCCCTCCCCGGGCCTGAGGGGCACTGACTGGCAAGACCTCTTCACTCTGCAGAAAGTGCAGACGGCACCTGCAGATAGGTGATGGCTGTCAGGAGTCCTGCACTTCCAGGGCCACGGGGTTGGGAGGGCAGAGGATGGAGTGTTTGTTCACAGGGGGCACCCTGTGAGCTTGCCGCTGTCCCCACCCACTGCTCTACCACGCCCCGCTTACCCTCGGTTGAGGGCAGCAAGGGGCCAAGACTCATATGCCCAAGATCAACTTTTCCACAACTGAACCATCAACCTGAAAGTTGCTAAGGAACTGGATCACCACGCACCTTGCCTCATCACTTTTGGGCCCGCTGGGTCCCAGACGAAGGCTATCGAGAGAGCATCTGAGAAATCGTTTCCAAGCCTTGTCACTCCTTTGGTAAAGACCGCCATCTCACTTTGACGTCGCCATTGGCTGTTTCCGCTGAAGAGACTCAAGCAGGGCAAGTCCCGAGGTTGCTGCTGCTTCGGCAGCATCGCAGGTGACAGTGGCCTGGGCTCCCTGTGCAGGTGTCAGGACATGGAAAAGGCTGGACTTTGTCTCCTCTTTGCCTGCTGTTAGCCTAACCATGAAAGTATCTCTTTATACAGAATACTTAACAGATTCTAATATATATTTGTATTTCATTTTGTTATAGTATTTTTATATGTTAAAGTCAACATCCAGTGTCTTGTTTTGATTTTCAGATCCTACGTGGTTGTGATGTTTTGTTTGGGGGGATTTCTGTAGTCTTGTTTGGATCACTCTTTTAAAGAGACTGGTTTAGAACAAGCCTGTGAGGGAGCCACACCTGCCCTTTCCCTAGAAGTGTTGTTTTAGAACATGTTGGATATTGTCTGTTGTCTTCATGTGAACATGACATTGATTCACTCAGGTTCTGCCTTGTTGATCTCTTTTTCTGCACCAAGGATGAGCCCCTGCTGCTGACACACACCCTCGCAGGGGTGAGAGTTTCTGGGCTATCCACACAGCAGCCACAATCCAAGGATGGAGCCCAGATGCAGCACCTGTAGGATTTGTCCTTGGAACTCTCTAGTCTACCTGGAGTGGCAAAGGAGGTCTGTTCCTCCTGAAGAAGGAAGGGAAAGCCTGAGGGATGGCTTGGTCAGGGCTCCTAGGGGATGTTAGTGTGAGAACAGAGCCCAACAGAGCATGGCACACATGGATCTGGGGAGGTTGCCCATCCTCACTTCCTTCAGGTGTCTCCTGTCACATCCACATTTTGTAAGTTTGTGTACAGAGCCACACCCATATTTAACCTGGCTCTGAAGGTTTCAGAGTGTCAGGGCAAATAGATTAGAAAGCACTGTGGCTTCTCAAACTGTCCTGTAAGGTTGACCTGCCAGGCACCAGAACAGGTTTTTGGGGCTCAGTGGAGAAAGGAGGCAAACGTACTTCTATAGTGGCTCTACTACGAACTCACATGTCAAAGTTGCACTCAGGAGTTTTGTAGGATGTGCGACCTGAGTGTGTAGGTGAATCCAGGCCCTGGTCGTCAAGCTGGGCAAGGACCCTCACACCAAGGGGACCTGGCTGGTCCTCCTCTGATGCAGGAGGGGATAGACTGATATCCCACTTGAAGAATGGGTCTTGGCGATGGCCACATAAGCCACACCTTAATGGCACACTGTCATCTTGAAAGTGGACTGTGAAGGTAACTGCATTCCCTCGAAGCCATTAGGGATTTGGGAGGAAATGTAATGAATTAGGCACAGGAGAGAAAATGGGTTAAAATGGGGTTGTAATCTCAAGAGTCTGGATTGGCCAGTAGGTTACCTAAGGGAGTCAGGTGGGCACACACCACTGGCCCATCATTTGTATTCCCACTTCTGATAAAGCCGCGGGACAGAGGCCGATTTCCCTACTGCAGAGAACAAGGGACAAGTGACAACCGAGAGCCTGTGATGACCCAAAAGGCACACTTTCCGATCAGCTCCAGCTGATTCTTACCACACACTGATCTTGTCAGATCGTCATTATCTTTTTTTTTTAAGGAGATGCCAGAAATCAATTGTTATGTAAACACTCATAGTTTTTAAAAATCTTTTTTTTTATAACACTGGGCTAAATGAAACACCACTGTCAGCCACCAGTTTGCAACCTCTAAGTCAGAGTACAGTAAGTGGGAGATTTCCCAGTCACAAGGAAACCCCCAGCCAAGGGAACGGGCACAGCAGGGCTTGGTTGAGGGTGGAGGCAATAGAAGGAACACCCAGGCTTCCAAGTAGAGTTGCCATGTTCTCCCGATATTGGTGATAACACATTTCTTTTATCCCTGTGCCCTGAACCCTCAGAGTTAATTCTAGGGATGTCCCCTCACCCTAAGCCAGTCTGTACCTCTCAGATCAGATTCTTGTTATACTACCATAGGATGAGTATCGGAGGGAAAAGAAACCTATTTTACCACCGAAAAGTTCTACTCTGGAACAAGATAATTCTCCAAATACAAATTAAGACAGGGAGCCTGACTGCCAGCTGCAGGGCTGTTTTCACTGGGTGTAGTTCTGTATGTCAATGGCCACTGTCAGGTGAACTTGTTCATGAGATTGTGGTTGATTCTGTGGGAATCACTGGTCCACTGGATCCTCAAACAGACCCATCTCCAATAGAGTTGAAAGAATATAATGAAACAGGTCATGATGCCTGTAAGTGGAAGGATTTCCAGCCAAGTTTCTGCCACACTCCAACATGGGCTACAGAGAGCTGGGGTGGTTCTCCCTGGTGGCTGTGCAGACAGTCCCCTAATCTATCAGTGGCATACCTGAGGTCAGAAGTGTGAATTCAGTTGCTTCCTGCACCTCAGGATGAAGCACTGGCATCTTCCCAACTCCGCCATGGGACTTCTTAAGAAGCTACCCTTTTCTTTTCCCTGAAGTTAGGCTTAATTCACAAAATGGCCACAGATCTAGCAATGTCCCTTTAAGTCCCAACATAGGTGGCCTACTATTGCTTTTTGGTTCCTTCTGTCAATTTACCAAATTTGCCCTAGGCTACAAGTTGAATGCTGGGCTTCAATGCATTCTGCATCCTCTCCAGTAACGACACAAACATACTTTTAATATCAAAGAAGTTTAATACGCTGCAATAAAATAAGCGCCTAGAAAAAGCTCATGGAATAGATGTCAATGTTAGAGAAATCCCTCCCACACATCCTCTAGCTCCATACCCCATCCCTCCAAACCAAACAAGAAAATCTGAAACAACAAAGGAAATCCTTCCAAGCTTGGATTTCATTGAGGGCCCCTTTACCAGTAACAAGAACACAGTTTCCTAGAGGGCCTAATAGGAAAGTAAAACACAGAAGCACAAAAGGTCCACAAGATTGCAATATTTAAGAGACTTGGTACATATTCAAATTTAAAATAACTCCAACTTTTATAGCTATACATATTGTTTTAAAGCAACTTAATATATTTTAAATTTCATATATACACTCTCAAAGGTTCTTCAGGTGAGGTATGTAAACATTGTCTAATGAAAATTTTTCAATGCTTCAAACCAACAAATTCACAGCATACATTGAATTTTCATCCATAGAAGACACAGTATTTTCCTACACTCACTAACATGGTGGGAATTCCGGGCCCAAGGGATACACGCTGGTCATCTGGATCGCCATTTGCAGAATTTCTCATTTCATTGCTTTTGGAAAGACCACCTTTACACAGCCCAGGAGCAATACACTTGGTACCAGGAAGGAGCTAGGCCCTCTGGAGACTCTCTCCTTGGGCGTCTGGATTGCTGGCTAAGACTCACAAGACATCTGAACCACTACGAGATTGACCTCGGCAATGACAACACTGGGAAGAACCAGAAGGACCTTAGAAGGAACGGTAGAGATTCATCTTAGAGCTCCCTGGATCCATAGTTGGATCAGCAGCCCCTCCCTTAAACTCATTCTGAAGGGTTGTGGCCCAAAAACAATAAAACCCAACATGGCACCTGAGCTTCAGTTAAATTGCATGGGCCTCCTGTGACCCCCTGGCCTCTCAAAGGCATTAACTCTAGCCTAAAGTAGGACCCTGGGCTGTGCTTTTCATACAGGTGGGGGTTGATTTCTTAATATCATAATGCATACGGGAAAATAATGCCATGAGTTCACAAAGACGACCAATGCCTGTACACAGGTATTGGCCAATGACCTTGGAGGAGCTCAATTTTGAAAACTACTTGTTCCCTGAGGGTAAACAGCAGGCTTCTATTGAGATTAAGTGAGGCTAATAAAGGGGTTATTTATTACAAGGTAATAAGACTTCGGGAGCCTCAGGCCGGAATTCTATTTTACCCCCATATAATCTACAAGGCCCCCTCCCCGCCCTCCCACCACCACAAGAAGTAGTCACCTTCCCAATGATACAACATAGGTCAGTTTCTTTCCTCTTGCTTGCTTTCAGGCTCAGCAATGGAAAGTTTTATCCTAATGCACCCACTTCAAGCTAGAAAAACACTAGTGAAAAATTCCAAACACCATCATCATAAATACAAAAGAGAAGACATATTCCAAAAGCCTAAAAAACTACATTATTCATTAATGGTTATCTGGGTGTGGGGTATTTTTCATAAAGTTCAGGACGGTCACAAGGAGAGGCTGCTAAACAGCTTAGAAACCTGTTGGACTAGACACGCTGGGATACTTGGAAGAGCAACTGCCCGCTTTGCACAGACCTAAATGGTTTAAGTCCAGACACGAAGGGGGCTTGGACATTTCACACCCAGGTGCAGAGAAGAAATATAGGAAACAGGCTAGCTCTTAAACGTAGGTCAGATACAGTCAAAGAACTTTTTCTTGGCCATTTACAGTAAATTTTTAATGTGAAAAGTTCTTATATTAATGCTATATAGCCAAATGAACTTTGCCTCAAGTAGATTCTGTAAACCCTACAAATTCATGGAAAATTGATAATTTCTCAATCTCTATGCCAAATTTTTGGTGTGTCTGGTTCTGGCAGATCTCTCATCCATTGTTAGAGTTGTTTGATGTGGAGGAGCGTGCAGACAAACAGAAGCAAAAATTCAAGTACAGCAACCTCTCCAGCAAAGGCAAGAGGTCTTAGCAAGAGCTGTTCTACCCCCACCCTATCCTCTGAGACAAGGGCTAACGCGGAGCCCAGAATAAATGTTATTACCTAGAATCTTATTGCTTATGGGCAACACATCAGAAAGAACACCTGGAAATCTGCTCTGCAGATCTGGGGACTGACCACTGACCAGTTTATCATACATACATATATATATATTATAATATATAACATAACCAGATGAGAAGAGGGGGCGATTAAAGCTTGGATTTGATGTAACATTACAGATCAAATGCCCCAAACAGCTCTCAACCTGCTGGTTTTTGTTCTTTCTCCATGTGTGAACTGTGTTATGAAAGGAAGTCCACTGCTCAAAATATATTTTTCTACAATACTACAATGCAAACCAACATCACTCAGAACATGAATCTGCATACAGCACATGTAATAAATATTTTTAAAAAACTATTTACAACATTATTTCTTGTGAACATTTAGATGAGAGCAAAATTTATTTCTTCTTGCAAAGGTTAAAAAACTTTTGACTGTCTCATTCAGTGCTAAATTCCCTGGCACCTAGCTATCCATTCACATTTCATCTTAAAGTCAGATTTGCTTACAAACAGTATCTTAGAAAAAACATTCTCCAGCATTACTGTTCAAGTGTCCTCCTTGTTTGTTTAGAAAAGACAAAGGGAGGCCAGAAGTAAGTATGCAAATGATGGTTCAAATGGATGACACAAATCCCTGTGTCCAGCCCCAAACTCTCTGCAGTCCTGGAGCTGCAGTTCCCAGTTCAGCCACCCAGGCAGAATGAGAATCTTGACTCCGACAGGGGTGTCCAGGAATGGGGCACAGGGAGGAGGAACATGATGGGAAAACATCTGTTCCATTACACCTACGGGTGCTCTGAATTGCAGACCAGGACTCCTGAGAAGTAAAGCTGCACACACCTTATAGCAAATGGCCTCACTCTGCACCATCGGCTATAGGAGGGGCTGGCCCACATCTGCACAGAAGCTTACTGAGACAGGGACGGGGAGAAGGCGGTGAGCTGAGGCGCTCAGGAGCACGGTCAAGGTGCGGGAGGAAACATGCTTATTTCCCATGGTTAATGACTGAGTGCGAACAGGTGTTTTTCACAAAGGTGAGAAAGACTAAAATACATCGTAATGCTTTCCTTAGTCAGCCAGTGGTTTCTCCATACCCCACAGGTACAGGTTTGGATTTCCTTGGAGTTACAACTAAGACTGGTCTCCCTGCACGGGCTGTTGAAATGTACAGTTGAATGTACCAACTGTGTGTGCAAAAGTGGGCTGCTTGAAGCAAGTTCTGGTGCCATGCCTGGCACAGCCAATACCGATTGTGGGAGACCTGCTTTGTCCCGGGGTGGGGTGACACTAGGGGGATGTACTCAGGTTCCCAATCCACGCTGCATCTACCCAAATACAGTGAGGGTTTTAAGGCCCCGCTCTTTTGCCTTCACTATGTTGTTTGGAGATTCAGTGGCTGAGCATGTAGCTGGGGAGGACAGGGTCTCTAGAAAGAATACTTTCTTAGAAAGCCCTTTTGACAGCTATTTTTTGTTTGTTAAAATAAATATTTTCTATAGAAGCATTTGAACAGGAAAATACCACTATTTACACGGTGAAATAAATTTCACAGTGGTGCGTATAAATAGGTATTATATATACGTATTTGAAATCATAGTCACACAGTCTCCTAGAACTATTAAAACTGCAGAAATCACCGGTGAAACTAATAACCTTAAGCTATGGTGGCTCTAAAACTAATCCCTACCTGTGGTATAAATATACAAAATTATGCAAATCTTATTTGTATAACATCTTTTCCACAAACTAGCTCCCAAGTACTACAGCTTTAGCTACAAGACAACATGAAGAGTAGATTATAGAAAACAACGTGGGTGAGAAAGTTGGTAAGTTGAATAGCGTTTGGACCCAGTGGCTAAATACTAGAAGAAAAACAGTTATGAAGAGAAAAACGCTTCTAATATGATATGTACATGTTCAGTGAAGCACTTGAAAAGTAAGAGACTTCCCAGAGATGCCTCCTGGAAGGGGACTAGGGGGAAAAGCAGGAGAGGAAGAGGTAAGATGCCAAAGGTGGGTCCTCAAAATGAGGTGAGTCAGGCCTGACCAGGCGCGGGCTCCCCTGGCCAGGCCAGAGAGCTCTGAGCTTCGGGCTAAAGCTGCTGGTGTGCTGACAAGGTGTCATGGACGACTATGCTGGTATTTTTCAGAGTTGAGAATGTGTGATTTGGATTAGAGGTTTAAACAGGCAAAGACCAGCCATTTATGTTCATGAGTAATGACCAAAGTTTGGGGAGCGATAAACTTGCAAATACACTGTAAAGAAAAGGGGAATTCTGGGGGTGAAACTAACATGCCCTGTGCCTGCTGGGGAGAGGCACTATTCCAGGCTATAAGTTCACAAGTAAATTCGTTTGTGTGGAGCACTGCTGTAGAGGAATGTCTCTCCAATGAGAGTCAAGTTCACTCTGACTCATAAACATGAGGACAACTGCAGTACATTTAGTGTAAAAGACTTTGTACTTTTAGCTTTAACTACTTATCCTAGTAGATCAGATCGTATGTCCACAATTCAACAAATATTCAATCAACAAAGGGAGATACATTTCTGGCTTTAATACATGAGCATTACTCAGGAATAACGTGGAACAGTAGCTGTATGTTAAGATGAACAGGCAAGATACCCTAAAATCTAAAGGGAAAGGAATGCTGCACTGCTGGACTACATGAAAAATAAATTTATGCCTAATTGGCCACACAATTTGATTTTGGATGACATATTGCAAGAATCAGTTTACTTTCTGTAAAAGGGTCTGGTAGCAAATATTTTATATTTTAGGCTATGTGGGCCATATGTGGTCTCTTTTTTTGTTTGTTTGTTTTTAACATAACCCTTAAAAAAAGGTACAATGCATTCCTCCAACCTCTGGCATTTAAAAAAAAACATGGTTTTATAGTTCTTTTTTTAATGAGCAATCTAATTCCATGTGGTTTGCCTACTGACCACCTCGTGTTAAACAGAATGGTTCCAGGCAGGTGAGAAAGCCTGTGTGTTACCGGGCTCGCAGGCGAGCATAACTGCACAACTGGCCCTCTGAGCACTGAGCATAAACCACCAGGGCTCTGGGAAAAGGATCAGACAAAGGGGAGGTAATGGAAGGAACTGGCCAGCTCTGGCTCAATTCTAAGGGCAAAAGCACCTGCAAAGTGTCCGAGGTGGTTCCCTGGGTCCCCAGGACAGCATGGCAAGACCTGAGCTGGGAGCAGCATCAGAGAGCTCTAGGTTTCTGCCTGAGCGTGATTTAATATCTTTAAAGAAAAGAGGTCAGACCTTCAAGTCTTCCAATCGATCCACTGTAGAATACAGTGGTTTGTTCTGACGTTTCAAGGAATGAACTATATTCAAGGCTGCCTCAAAAGTTATGCTTCCCATAATTCTGCTTGTTTTATTATTATTTATATTGAAGATGAGTTAATTATGTTTACATTTTTCAGGAACATGCTTGCTTTAAATACAATAATCTTTTTCTTTTCTTTTTTTCCCCTGAGAAGGGCTTGGGAGCAAGCATGGGGTAGAGTACTCCCACTGCTAAGATGTGAGGATTGCCTTGCTGATGCCTGACATGGACGTGACTTCATACTCAGAAAAATTTCCAGGATTTCAGTAGATATTAAGCCATAGGAAGATAAAAATTCATAGTTAAGAATTCAAAATGTTAATTATCTGTTTCAAAACAACCGAAATAGTCACTGTTTTAGAGCCACTAACAAAAACTTGTTCACTGATACGACATTCACTTTCACTTTGAAAACAACACAGAAACTTATCCTTGAGTTTTTAAGGAGGGGGAGGACAACACCTTGGAAGTTGACTGGATTTGATCTAAAGATATAACCCTATAACTTCTCAGTCACAGTCAGGTTATTATGCTCCACTTTTCTATTATTCTCTCTAAAGTACTTCAAGCCTCTATTTTTCAGTCATCGGCTTGCCTTTAATAAAATTATTTTGAAAGAAGAGTATCGTGACTGAAAAAAATATCAGTGCCAAAACATTTTTATTTTCCTAGAAGCTGGCCAAAAAAATTATATAATCAACAGTGTTTTGGTTTTGTGATTGGACTTGTTTCTCATCTGTGAAAAGACTTTTTCCATATCTAAATGTGAGGTTCAGAAAATTGAACATCCAACTGAAGTAGTCTCAACTAAGTTTGAAAGAAACAAAATCTTGGCTTATTTTAGTAATAAACAAGCCAGAGTCAGGTCTCTGATAAAAACTGGTAAAGGAGAGGCCCAGGCTGCACACCTTGAGAACTCTGGATTCCTGTTTGCTCACAGATTCTGACTAGAGGCTAAAGGTGGCCTTATTTTGGTTACTGTGAAGGGTGAGTCTCACAGGATGTGAGGCTGAGATACCTCAAGTTTCAGGAGATGGTATCTGATGTGCTGTGGCTGTATAGCGTGTTACCTTTTATAACAAGAAAAAATAAAGAAATGTAAAAAGAACTCAACTGAGGTAATATAAAGAGGAAGGAGAAGAAAAGAAGACAGAGAGGAAAAGAGGCAGAAGAAAGGAGAAGACAAATCAGGGCAGATTTCTACCTGAAAAAGGATTATTTTCTCAAGCATGGGTCAGCAAACTTTTTCTTAAAGGTCCAGACAGTAAATCTGTCAGGCTTTGTGGGCCATGTGTTCTCTGTGGCAGATACTCAGTTCTGCTAGAAAGCAGCCAGACAATACATAAACAAATGGGCATGGCTATATTCCAATAAACTTTTATTTACAGAAGAACGATTAGCCACACTTTGCAGACCTTCGACAGATCATTTGTAAGCAGAGTGACAGCCTGCCTGGGCTAAAACCAAAAGGAGCCAGTGTGGCACCATGGGCCAGCACCTTGGGAAATTCCAGCCTAGTCCCAGGTGCAGTGACAAGACACTGTCTTGCTGATGGTGACAGGACAGCATCTTCAGCTTGCACCACGCAGCATGTTGCCCTCTCCTACTTGGCTCTTAGGCTCCCCACTAATCAAAAGGAATGTTGTCCATAAGTGACAGTGATAGCTTCAGTCTTCACTACAGAATTAATCACAAGGGAGGGAAGAGTCCAAACTTCAATTCAAAATAACCGTCTTGAAGTGATGTGTTTTACTGATGACCTGTCTGAACAGTGAGAAATTCAGCCTCACGGTATGTGATGCATAGTGAATCCCATTAAAAGCACCACATCTGTGAAGGAATGACTAACTGCACCCTTCTATCCACACTACTGCAGGAAGGAGGCACAAAACCCACAGCCTAAGATTTTTTTTTTTAATAAGGTTTGTGTAGAAGTCTTCAATGAAGTACAGACACAACAGAACTAGCTACCTAAGGGATCCAAGGGGTTAGCAATCACAGGTTACATCTGTACATAAGGAGCCTCAAGAGTAGAATAAAGGTTCATGGCCTCCTTGCTGCGCTGCAAGATTGCTATAAGTCTGAAGAAGTGCTGGGGGCGAGGCTCTGGACCCCAAATGAAGGAGCAGTCCCCACGTTGTCCTCCAAAACCCAGGGAGCCTCAGGGGACAGAAAATGGGAGACAGAAAACAGGTCTCCTGTAGAGGGCCCAGCTCTGGGGAGCTATGGTAGAGCTTCAGTGGTTGCTTCCCAGGCATCTTCCAGCTCCTCCAGAAGCTCAGAGGAAATACCAGTGCTCCCTGGTCATCAGCGCCAGCTCCAACAGTCACTTCACTGAGTACAGACCCAGAAGCAGAATTCCTTTCTAATTTGGAGTCCAGTATGTGGGACAGAGTGCCTCTGTATCAGGCGGCAAGCCCCGGTGACAATGGCTACAGGAAGCTGGTCTTTGCAAGAGAAGAGGAAACAAAGGGAGACTTAGGTCAAAAGCAAGCCTAGGCTTGGAGGTGTCTGGCAGACAGGTTTGCCAGCATCTGCTATAATAAAAGGGCCTTCCAGAGCTGGCCCTCAAGCTTGCTCTTTTTTTCTTCTATCAGTAAAGGTAACTGAATCAGCAAAAATGAGATTCAATAAATATAAAAATAATTCTAAACTTTCAAGTGTCCTAATTATGTAGAATCCCAGTCTATTTAAATGTAGCCACTATTATAAAGTTGATTTTAAGATGATCCATTGCATTGTTAAGGTATATAAAATAAATGCATACACATTGATACCTTTTCTCAGATGTTGCCTAGTATGGGAAAGAAGGCTATGAGCATCTGAAGTAATCTTTTAAAAATGAAAAAGAACTTAGAAAGGTAATGGAATGGATTACAAACCTGCAACTAGAAAAGTTCCACCCACTTACAGCCTCACACCTCTCTCTAACTTAATCCAAGCACCCTTACAAGGCAGTCTATATTGCAGTCACTGGGGGCACCTTGAACATATGTACAGGGATCAGCACACCTGACATCAGCAAACCTCAGCCATTTAAGTCACCACAAAAACAACATCCAGTGACGACTATATGAAAAGATTCTTTTTAAAAACTTTAAAACGACTTTTATAGATTAAATGAACCTACTTAAAACGTATTAATGCTTCTGTGCAACTTAATGCTGAGAAACGCTTGCCAACATACATACACACTCAGCAGTTTCATTAACATAGGTAGCTCCTGAATGGTCAAAGTCAAAGATATTTAAAAAAAAAAAAAGACTCATGGGATAGAGGAGACATTAGAAAAAAAAATCAAGGTTTCATTGAAGATAGTAAACTTCACTTACTATGAAGTTAAACACAATTCCCAATTTCCCATGAATCAAATGCTTTTCTCCAGTCCTATCCAATCATCCAAAGTTTTCATTATATACAGCAAATCTTTAACAGAATTGGTAGAAAATCTGTTTTATTATGATTTGGATGAGCTAATGCATGAAAAAAGGTACATCTGGGTTTATCTAAACAGATCAGAAGCAATATAAATGGAAATTTTTTAAAATAAAAAGGACAGAGTAGCAGCTGTCCATACAAGCCTATTTTGGTGACAGAGTATATTAGAGAAGCCTTATTGGTAGAGTGGCTCAATGGAGATGTCAAGTACACACTCTGTTATAACGGAGCAATGTTACAGCCACCAAGGTAAAGTCAATGCACCTATCTCAGCCCTTAAAACAACATTAGTTACAAATACTGTGGCTCTCACTTTTGAGCCATGGTACAGAGCCTGACATGACAGAGGCAGGTGTGATACTACAAGCATTAACTACTAGTATGATGCCAACCAATCAGAAAGGACACCAACTCTAAACATGTACATTTCACCTTGGAACATACCAGCTGAACATCAGCTCCTGGTATAGGGGTGTTTGTGGCCCCACTATGAGATGTTGGTGCTACTTTCTTTAACTACAAGGTTGCTCTGAACTTTATATAATTCTGTGCTGTTTAGACCTTCCTGAGTCTGGTGCCAAAGAGGTTTGGGGAATGCTCATAGAGACCTTGGGCTACATTTAAGCCATCTGGCCTATGCTAGTTACCCAGCTCATGAACACCCTATTACACTGCATGGAGAAGGAAAAAATTTACTCTAGAACTGGGATTGGGAGACATTTGTGCCTGATAACCACATGCAAATGAACCCAAACACACATGCACACACACAGTCTTAAACTTTTCTATTCCTGGAAGTAACATTTTGGCTTTCTTTGAATATGGAAGTACTTAGGGCAAGAAAGAAAATTAGAACAGTTACTCTCATCCTAATTGTCAAATTACAGCTACAAGATGAAAAAAAGGATCCTAGATTTTTTCCCCAAAGTAGGATGAAAATCTTGTTAGCGTGCTAGCAAGCTTGCAAGGCCAAAAATGAAAAGGATGGTAAGAATCAGTAATGCAAATAATTGGGGAATGTGAGTAATTTTTAGAGGTCATAAATCAGTATTAACATCTTGTGACACACCTTTTGTCCCATGGGCACATAATTTAGAATAAATTTTTTTCTCAAATAACAAAAGATCAGAGATGAGTGACCAACAATGAATATGAATTTTTAAAAAGGGGTCAACAGAAATATTAATCCTTTATAATAATTATAAATTCCCTCTGCATTCTCCACATACCATAAAAATGATTTGGTTTAGCTTTCAAATATCATTTTAAACAAACAAGACAGAGGGAAGTTCACTGCTGGGTTCTGCAAAGAAGAGCATCTGTTCATGTACAGATACTGCAGGGTGGCTGCTGAAAAGCTACTTTTATGTGCATCCTGGTGGTCTTCTCGGCTACAGTACAAGTGCTTGTGCATCAAGTATAAAATACAAGCCTTTAATCACATAGATCAGCTTTTTAGCTTTTGTAAATTTAAAAACAAAAAGGATAAATAAGGCACTGTACTTTTAAAAACTAAAACTGCTTGGTTCCAAGTTTAAAACCCAAGGAACAATCAGAATATAATATATAACTTCCCTTACTCAGCCTCAGAGAAAGACTCTGCAAGTTCCCTTCTCCAACTGAGACGCATTTTCTGACATCTTAAATTGTGGTATTCTCCATTAACTGCAGGGTTGAAAGGCTTGATAAGCTTATAAAAGCAGATTTAGTTAATGCAAAATAAAGGGTTACTTCTATAGAACAGTTTTAACTCTTGGCTACCGCCCTTCCAATCACTTTGTATCCAACCGCCTCCGTTTGCTGTGGGAAGAGTCCAGCTTTGCCTTTAGCTTCCGCTTTCTCTGGGCTGCACTGTTCTCTGGGGTTTTCGTCGAGGATCTGGCTCGAGTCTTTCCACTGCTCTGCTTCCTACTTGTGGCTTTCTGTGGCCTTGAAGAGGATGCACCGGCCCCCTTTTGCTTTGCAGGTTTTGTCACTGTCTCCGAGGTGGAGGGCTGGGTGGGTCTTTTGTTTGTGTTCTCTTTTTCTTTCCTGGAGGGAGGGCAGCTCTTTCCAAGGGACTTTTTAGGGGTCTTCACTTTATTCTCTTTCAAAGACGTCTTTCTGGGCAGTTGGCTGATTCTGTCCCTTGTAGCTGGCTTCTTTGCAGCGGGGGTTTTGGTGGCTCCATCAATATGCTTCTCTTTGTTGGCCTTCATTGCAGGTCCCTTGTCCTTCCTGTCCTGAGTGCTGCTGCCTTCTGTCCTCTTGCGTTTATTTTGAACTTCTGCTTTTGGTGGGATTTCAGACATCTGCTTCCCTTTCCTTCCTTTCATTCCATCGGTACTCTTGGGCTTAATGGGAAACCCATCTGCATCTACTTGCAGGGCAAGCTTGGGGGACATCAGAGGGTTGATGCATACACTCTTACAACTTTGTTTACTTTCCACAGCTGGACCAAATGGGCTTTCCATTTTCTCGTTCTTAATCAAACGCTGCTGGGCTCTGAGCTTTCCTCGAATGTTGGAATATTTCCTAAGGATCCGGGTACTGGCTGGCGTAGGCGAGCTTGTGGGAGGATGGCTATTTCTACCTTCCTTGACTTGCTCTACACTGTCCTCAGGATTGGGGCTGAGGCTAACGTCACTGCCATCCTCTGGCTCCACTTGGTCAGGATTCTCTCGAAATTTAGCCCAGAGCTTCTGTGTTTTCCAATTGTTCTTGGCAGGAGTAGCTCCGGGAAATTTCTTCAAGTGTTTTTTCAAGCGCTCAGCCTGTAGTGAACTGGGGTACAGGCTGGAAGGAGAGTACTTCTGAAGAGGATGCTTGACAGGTGGGATGTCTCCTGGAAGACGAGTATTGAGCTTCTTCACAATGACCAGAGACCGGGTTTCAGTCGTCTCTAAGAACCATTTACAAACATTAGATAATTTAAAGTTTGTCATAAACAGCATCTGAACAGGAGAAAATTTTTGAACTTCCAGTGAACCTCGGCATTTCCGTGACCTTTTCTTGCTTTTCCAAATCTCCTTCAGTTTATCTGACTTGTTCCTTGCTCTGGGTGTTGGCTGGGCCTCTTTCTCCAGCTGGATCCAACCCTTCTGAACTTTCATGTACTGGGCATTGAAGCTGGCGATAAGCTCTTGGTTCTCCTCCTCGGCACACCATTCCACAAACTTTGGCTGGTCGTCTACCACTGTGTCCACATCATCCTCATCTAAGGGATCTCCACTCTCTGAAGCTTCATTTTCCTTTGAGATTGGCTTTTCTTGTACTGCTTCCTTTTCTGAAGTCACTTTTACTGTATCCAAGGAATCGAAAGGATGAGCATGTCTTAGGTTGTAGGTTGAAGAGGTCAGTCTTGTAAGCCTCGGTACCCATTTTGGGGGCCCAGCAGTGTCATCACTTCCATTACTTGACACCCCAAGTGTGTTAGACGGCACATCACTATCATGATCTTTATGCTGGCTGTCTGCACTATCCATCTCATTAACAACCTCCTCTGTGTCTTGTGCAGGAACAGGTCCTGGCTTCTCTTTTGACTGTTCTGGGAAAGTACAAGGAATACTTTCAGAGAGGTCTTGAGTACTGTTCTCACTTAACTTAGACTGAACATAGATTTCCAGTTTCTCTCCAGGCAGGGGCTGGCCAGCTGTGGTTATGGGATCATTGCTGGGGAAAATACCTCCTTCTTCCCCCTTGACTTCTTTTGCTAGCATGTTTTTAAAAGTCTGCCTGGTGATTATCCCACCTCCTATGCCTTCCTCCTCAGCATCTTTCTCAGAGGGATTCCCATTGACATTTGGGTTTTCTGTGTCCTCCAGGGCTTTTGTATGGAAATCATCAGTGGGAAAGCCGTCAGGTGTTGTCCCACCAGGATACCCTTCTTTTTTAGAACGTCTTACACCGGGAGTTTTAGAAACCTTGATCTCAGGACAAGCAGAGGAGGAATCTGAACTTTGATTTCGTAGGCACCTCTTGGCAGAGGAAGAATCTGAAAGTTGACTTCTGAGGCACCTGTCAGAGGCCTCGGGGAATTTTTTACCTTTCTTCTTTTTGTCCAAATTCTCTTCAGGTGAGTCAATGTTTTGATCGCACATATCTTTTTCTGAAGGAGGTTTTACATCACTGTCCTCTCCCTCGAATTTTCCTGTACCACCTGCTGCCCCTCTTTCCTCCATTTCACTGGGGTTTTCATTAGAAAAAGTGCTGCTTTCCTTCAAGAGTGGGTCAGTGTCTAGCTCCTGAGTGTCACCAGTCTCGGCCTCTGTACTGATGCTCTGATCTTCCTCAGCTTTTTTCGGGCTCACAGGAGGCTCCAAGCCCACTTGGGGACTGTGATTTTCTGAGCATGGAGGACTCTCCTCTCTACTGATTGTTTCTGGAGAAGAACGAGGCCTAGGAGCAACATCCTCACTGCCTCCCTCAGAAATGCTCTCAGTAGAAGGAAGCAGGTGACAATCTTCGGGTACACTCATCTCCTTTGTATCCAGCAGGTCAACTGACTGTTGGTCTAGTTCAGGGGAAGATATCCTACTCTCTGTGGGAGCTGAGACTACGGGGCTGCCTTCTGGCAGGTCCTCTTCGGGAAGCTGAGCAGGGAGAGGCCGCGCCAGGCTGGAGGCTGTTGTTTCCTTGGATCTAGGGGAGCTGCTTGGGTTTGCGTTACTCGTCATTGGGCAAACCTCAGGCTCTTGAGATTCCTTTTCAGATGACTCATCTCTGTCTCCTTCCTTGAGGGAGGTTATTTCTTTACTAGGTTCTTCAGGGTTGTCTTCTCTGGGATGCTGCACTTCTACTGCAGGTGGAGGTGCTGAAACAATAAGGGTCTGCTTAGGCGTGACCACCGCTTCTGATGCCAGTGTTGAGCAGCTTGCTTTTTCTTGGGAGTGTAAATTTCTGGCCAGTGTGCGAACGGTTGGCAGTTCACAACAGTCACCATTGAAAAAGTATCCTCGAGTACTCTTCCTGGCTGTTTTCCGAGAAGATAATATTGATCTTTGATTCTCAAAGTGGCATTCTGTTATTGGCTGGCTGATATAAACGACATCACACTGGTTATCATAATCGTTTATCCTCAACCCTGAGGCCCTTTTACTTTTCCGAGCTGTCTTAATGGAGGTTGATATCATCTTGGTTCGTGAATGTCCATTAGGTGCTTTGTGGACAGGTGGCATGGGGCTGGGGGCTAACCAACCATCTTTGGAATGATCAAATTGGCCCTTATCACTGGGATGTAAATGGTAACCCACCTTATTTCTTCCCAGTGAGTGAAGATGGTTCTCTTGCTTTGGCCTTGAATCTTGTTCACCTGCCTCTAAGTCCTGGCGTAAAGGTGTTTTTGAGCCACCCTGTAAAGCATTCTCTTTGTCAGCAGTTCTAGGTGAATTCCCCATAAACCCTGAGTCCCAAGCCTCTTCCGATAAAGCTTTGAACGAATTTCTTTGAGAAACAATACAACTGTTGCTCTCTTCACTATTCTCAGCTGTCACTTTTCCTGCAATGAGATTTTCTACTAAAGCTGAACTCTGCACGTGGTCTCTACCATCCTCACATACTTTCACATTTGTGTCTTGCTCCTGTCCAGTGGTTGGCCCCTCCAAGATCTTAGAGATATGGTGGAAGTTTAATGAGGAAGAATTAGATGCAGTGAGGTATTCCAGAGTGGAACTATCCATTGAACTACCAGAATTAGGCTTAGTGGTTGGAAGTTCAGAGGAATCTTTCTGGACAATAGTCAAGGTATTCTCTTTTCCATCTACGGAGTTTGTTTCAGGAGGAGGCTCCTTTAGGGTCTGTTCTGTCAAGTGTGGAGGGCTGTGAGAGCCTGATGAGTCTAAGAACAAATCTACAGAAGTAGGAGACTTCATATTGAGACACACAGTATCCTTTTCCTTATGTTTGGTATCGAGCTGGGCACAGCCAGCATTGCAGGTGGAGGCATCCATTGCTCCAGAATCAGAAGGTCGCAGGTCCTCGGTGCCTGGCTGAGATTCAGTGTACAGATCGTTCAGAACACGGATGAACTGCTTCTGATGATGAGTGCACAGTTTGACCATAAACTTCTCCAGTGGGGACTTCGACTGATTGTTAGAATCTACTGCTATTGCCTCTGCTGAGTTCTCACTAGACAGACAAAGAGAAAGAAGAAATTAGTATGGTCGTTGTCCAAAGAACCATTTTTACATTTTGAAATTCACCAGTGTTACTCATGTTGTAAAGAGAATGGACACTCTGAACAAAACTGCTTCTAAGTGCCCATATGCTTTTTATTCAATAAATGAAGACCATTTACTTAAAATATAAGACCAGCTCTGTTACATTCTCAATTTTTAGTGATAACAACCTTCATACTTTTAATGTGATTATTCATAAATAATTTTTATCTTAAAGAGAAGAAGTATCATTGAAAATAAATTTTTTTTTTGCAAAATAAAATTTTGGCCATATTATTAACTCCAGCTGGTCAATATATACTTTTGTTTTTAGGCCTGGGTCTTTCTGTTAAGTAGTCATTGGTCCATAAGTCCACAACACTGACAAAAACTCAGACACCTTGTATTACAAATCTTGGTTTAGAAATACTTAGTGACATGATAGTTTTAACATGGTTTCTCAGCTTAACCGATTGACTAGACTTTATAATTCTGCAAACAGTGATGCAGGAATCCTTCTATTCTTTTGGGGTGTGGAGGAATGAATAGAGATCAATAACCTCACACTTCGGATGAAAAATGAAACGGCAAGCAATTCCTAACTCCCAGCCTCTAAATGAGGAAGCAGATACGAAATCACATTGTAAACCATAAGGCTCTGTCAATGCAAGGTGGTAGTACTGTCTTGTCAAGCCCCATCTGTTACATTCTCCTCGATCTTCAATAAACATTTTACAATAATCCACAGGAAGCCAAATCTACATTCAAGGACCCTTTCCAACCATTTCTGTATATTATCTAGGATAATTCTTAGAGTTCAACCTGGACAGTGGGGATGGCAGGGAAGGATGATACTGGATTCAGGACAGGCTAAAGGCAATTTCTGCTTAGACAGCCAAGTGTTTTCAAGAGCTGTTTTGTGTTTCTGGATGTTGGGATTTTTACTAAGCCCATGCAGCTGATGTGCTCTGATCTCTGATTATCTCCCAGTTACGAGGTGCCTTTATAGGAAGCCACACCCTAGACAGCCTACATCAGCCTCCTACCTCCCCACCCTCTTCTGGCCTCTGAAGCAGTGTGATTTTAGTGGAATAAACATAGATTGTAGAATATGAAAAGCCTATATTCTACCTCTGACATTTGCTATCTATATAGGATCTCAGGCAAATTACTTAACCTCTCTTGGTTTGCTCTTCTGTAAGTTGGAACTGAATATCAGTATTTCAAAGGATTGTTGTGAGATATTAGATAATTTTCATAAAGCACAAAGCAGCAGGTGCTCAACTTTACTTTCTCTGTTCCTGACTCATGGAGATTTTTAAGACCAAGTAGGTGAATAAAGCTGAAACATGCCTAAATACAAAACGAAATGAAATAAAACCAAGAAACTATTAATCATATCTGTTGTTTAATCTAAACTGCTTTGCAAGAGAAAAGGTTACACTGTATTTTTATTTTCACAACTAGCAAAAGAGCAGTTTTATTGTGTGGTGCCATGGGTATCCGAAAGGGCCTATATTAGACTACGGATTTGAAAAACTAGAAATGTCTTAGAAAATGCCTACCTCAAACATGAGACTGATCACTGCATTGTGAATAAACCAAGAACAAAAGATTATTATAGAAGTATTATAACAGCTGCATTGGGATGGTGAACTTTAAAGTACATGCTGGTTATGGGGCCAAAATCTAACAAAGAGAAGGAGGGGCCAAAATCTAACAAAGAGAAGGAAAGACCAAAAGCAACTGGAAAAAAAACTCACTGAACAAGATACTTATGATACGTGTATTTTTCTGTCTATATACTGTCCTTCAGTAAAAAGTTTTAGAAAGGAAATACCTGGAAGGTCAACAGGAAGAAGCCCCTCCCTTCCTTCAGAGAAGGAAAGACACAAGTGACACCCTTGGGTGAGTGACTTAGCAGTCACTTTCAACTCTTGGATTCAATGAGATATACATGGGTATTTAAACTCCTCCTACAGCTGCAGACTTCGCAGCCCATGGGGAATTCTGGAGTCCCTGCTGAAGGACCCCCTCCAAGAGGTCCCTGTGGTTATGTCCAGAGGACTTTGTTCCTCAGTTTTTGGCTCTTGGGTGTTTTCCTGATGTTTCTGAGATAGCCGACCACAAATAAGTGGGTTATTACTGGGTTTTCAATGCATCAAAGAATATAAGTGCAAAAAAAATTGTTGATAAACATCTATGAGAAAGATTAAAAAATATCATGGCATCTTACTGTAGACAAGACTGAAGAGATAAATAGTTCTCTCCAACTGAATGAAGCAGCACACTCATCACCAAAGTCTGAGGATGTTCTGGACACTGCTTCATGCCTGTGGCTATGCTCTGGGAGCAGGGTTTGGTGTTTGGAGTTAACAATATGCCTTGGGATTCATGAAATCAAGGCATGTGCCCAATAAAAGGGCAGAGTGCTCTCTGAAGAAAAACTGAGAAAGCACTTTTTTCTAAAGTGATGCTCACAGAGAATAAAAAACTGAATAATGATTAATCCACAGATGATACCTAACTTGCTTTATGATTGTAAGCCTAGGATCTGCTGCTGTCCCAAATTTTCAATAACTTAATAGTGATTCAATATTTTAATCACCCCAAACTAATGTAAGATCTTCCAAAGGACCATGCAACCAGCTCTGAAGCAATGACTGTGGCAACATGGCTCAACTAGTCCCTGAGGCTCAACCAACCATCGGTAGGTATTTATTTCCCAGCACTATGGGAGGGGGAAGTGGTGTCTTCACAGCAAGGTACACTAAAGACACACTGTTAGCACCCACTGAACTCTAACCTGGCACAATTCAGTGCAGAATTTTGATGCTGAAAAGCAGCATCAGGTGGGTGGACACAGGCTACACCAACCTTCAAAGGCATTTACAGTAGTGGTTTGGGGAAGCTCGAGAGATGAAAAGATGAAAACTGCAAATGGCAACCTTGCTTGAGAGAAAAAGACATTAACAGAGGGTCATTTGTGTGTGTATTTTCCTGGTAAAAAAGATCAGGGACAATGCTCTTGTGCACCATAGGTCACAAGCCCAAGCAGTAGCGTGCTCTTGTGTCAGTTACATCCTTGGCCACCTTAAAACTATCTTCACCTGGAGTGACTATCGTTCCCTTAAATCCTAAGCTATAATGGTTTGTAAAAGTCTTTGGCAATTATAAGGGGTCTTGCTTATTTATCCTGTAATTTTAATCTTTTACTGACTTAACCTGCCTTGTCTTTGTCTTAGCTTTCCAAGTGGATATAAGCTACCTGAGCTTATAAGTAGGAGCCATATTTCATGCTTTTCTGTTTCCTCTTAGCAAAAAAGAAGAGAGGGAGAGGGAGCATCAAGGATGTTTCCTGGGTTTTCTTCCTGGGCAGCACCATTTACTGAGATAGGAACACAGGCAATGAAGCTTGTGGCTGTGTGTATCTGATGAGCTCAGTCCTGCACACGTTGATTTGAAATGTTTATAAGATTTTGAATCTGAGATGCCTGGTAGGCAACTGAACACTCAGGCATGAGCTCACTAGCAGCTTCCCTTCAGTCTGAGAACCTTCACACTAATACTAACCTTTGTCCAGGGGCCATTAAATGGGCCCTGCTATAATAGCTAACTTTATAACTGTAGTAATAAAATTACTTTTGACTGTACCTCTAAATTATCCAGCTTCCTATTCCTACCTTGTTTGATTTTCTCAGGAAGTTTTCTCAATAGGACCTAGGTTTAGATGAATTTTAATTTCATATTAGTTGACTATTTAATTTTAAAAATCAATGTCAACTTCCTGAAGTTTAATTTTATTATTATTTTCCTCATGTTAAAAAAAAAGAGTGATAGCCAATTTTTTGCCTGAGTTTTAAAACAGTTGGTTTTTATCTTTGCATCTAGTTATTCAATTATTCAGATAGCCTTAGACCTTCAGTAGAGCCTAAATACAACATTTGCCCCTAATTTAGAGTACTCAGACAGTAAGCAGGGAAATTAGAGGGTGGAGCTTCTCTCCTGTAGATTGTTCACGCAACTCGACCTAAGGAGAAGCACTGTTTTAGTTCAGTGATTACAGTTGGCATCACAGTATGTCCTTCACATCTGACTATATTAGATTTTTACAAGAACAATAATTCATTACGGACTTTGAAATCACTTGTGTGATTTCATGTTCCTTCCTCTCAATAGCAGGACTCTCTGCAATAGTTAAGTGAATTATTTATCAGTCAGAAATACTTCATCACCACCACCAAAGAAGTAAGATCCTAGGGACTGGTGAAGGGGAGGAAGGGCTGAAGAAGAGGGAACCTTGACTTCCAACTACCTGGATTAGTTCTGAGTCTTTCTCCTTGATGAGAAATGGCCTGCATGACCTTGACCACTTTTGTCTTTCTAACCCCAGTTCAATGCCTAATTCTTAAGGGTGTGGTAGAAGGATAAGATAATATTCATAAAAACTCTGAAAGGCACAGTTTAAGAATGATGTGTTGCTTCACAACCGGATCTTTAATGATTTACTCAGTGATGTTTTTCTAGGTCAGAGGTCAGACACAGCTGAGCTTCCTACTTAGTCAATACCACGATACTTAAATTCCCAAAGGAAAGCATTCCTGTGGTTAATATAAATGGTAGATGGTCAGTGCTTATGTTCTCTTAGGGTAAAAGATCAAATAGAGAAGAGATGTGGCAGAGAGCTGAAATGACAATTTTAAGAGTCTAGAATTTGGGACTGATGGATTCAGGTAGTCTCTCAGTATCTAACTCTGTAACTACTGATGAAACTGCTTGATGGCAAGTCAGCATCACTGATGACTGAAATATATTTTTTGACCATAAAAGATTGATAGAGACAGTGAATGATGTCTGGATAGGAGCTAATCTTAGAAGCAGAAAAAGGTAGTCCCAGGAAAACAGAAAGGGAGAGAATGCTTGAGACAACACTTGAGAGACAGTAGACCAAATAATTAAGAGTTGTAAGTT